GTTAAGGAGTAAATTGCCAAAACCACCACAATTGTGTCACGCAGTGCAAAAAATCATTGTTTTCATAAAGTTTGTCGAAAATACTGTTTTTAAGTAATTGTTTGCTGAGGACACTAAATGCTTGACTGACCGCCGCTCAGCAGGAGGATGATATTCACCTCTTTTTCCTTTGTGACTTTGCTAGAGTAGCTTGGTTTTCTTCTCCTTGGTTTCTTAGATCTGACACTCTGATTCAGGGCCATGACTCAATGCATTCTATTCTCGTTCATCTTGTTTCGATGGGTCATCCCTATGCTTCTTTGCAAAATGTTTTGAATTTTTTATGGTGCATTTGGAAAGCTATAAATGATTTCCCTATTTGAACGTAAAAGGCACCTTCCTTATCAAGTTCACATTGTTGCTGCTAATATGGATTATGCTTCGTGCGAAAAATCTTTGCTCCCTTCTAACAATAAAATTTGCGCTAATACTCAACATGATTTACATGAGATTCCCGAGCAAGGGCAAACTATTAAATCTGATTTGCCGATCAATGGAGCTAAAATCTTTTCAGATGCAACTTTTAGATTTTCAAAAATTCCAGGTCTTCCCCAAGGACAAGTGAGGACAGGTGTAGGAGTCTACTTTTGTCCTCCTTCCTCTCAGGGATAACTTAATATTCAGGTTCAAGCTTCAGCGCCTCCAACTTCAACTCCTCTTCAAGCAGAAGCTGTTGCTCTTGCATGTGCAGCTCATTTGGCAATCTGTCTTAATGTTCAGTGCCCAATCTTTTTAACTGATTGTCTCCCTCTTGCCTCAGTGGTTGCTTCCAGGAATATTGCTCATTCTGCTGCTCCTTGGAACATTAGAAAAGAATTGGCGTCTTTTGTTAAATCCACTTCTAATATAAATTTGCAAGTGTTTCATATTTCTAGGAATTTGAATGGAGTGGCTCATAATCTTGCTCAACAAGTTTACCAGTCTATTAATGCTCCTGTTCTGGCTTGTTCTTTTCACTCTCATGCATCTAATTCCTGTCCAGTGGCAACCTCTTTGTCAGATTTTAATCTCACAGGTTTTCAGTTACATAAGCTGTACTGCTTTTAGCAGCCTGACGGTTTTCTTGCAGCTAACAACTTTGTGCATCTGTGGCCACTCGTGCAAATTCCCAATTTGCATGTTTCCAACTTCATATGGTGTAGCAAGAGACTTCGTTGGACTCCTTTTTCTGCTGCATCTTCTCTTGCAAATTGGTGTGAGGCCGCTGTCTACTTCATCTTCTACTCTCTGCTGGCTTATGGCATAGCTGTATTAGTCCTCTCTTAGTGCATGTTGTTCATCTGGTTGAGTTGTGCTCAGCCTTTCTTTGCTTCTTCCATCCAGCTTCTCTCATATGGCTGTTCTCTCTCTTACTAATCTTCTCGATATTGTATCCTCTCTTGTAATGATACTATAAGCTGTCAATGGAATTGGGCACCTGTCGGTGCCTTGCTTTGTTCAAAAAAAAAGCGAAATATGGCAGGCTGGGTCTGCCGCCAAGGCTGACGTGGCACAAAAAATTAACGCCGTTTGCTGGACGTTTAGCTCACAAAGGGCCCACTTGTCAGGACTCAAATTTCACCCGTGCATTTTTTATTGAGCATTAATTTTGTGTGCAGCGCGTCCGCCACCCACGCTCGGTCGCTCGCAGCGCTCTCGACCGCGGACCACCGGAGCTGCTCCCGCCGGCGAGCTCGCCACCGGAGCGCCGTACCACCGCTGACCCTCCCACCCCACCTTGCTCGTCTCGCCCCGCGCCCTCCTGTGCAGCTGTGCTCGATCCGGCCGCCGCTCCAGCTCCTATCGTGGACGGTGCCGAAGACCGCCGCCGCCGCGAGCTTCCGTTCATGCTCCAGGCTGCCCACGGCGCGCTCCTCCGTCCTGCCAACGCACCACGTCGACGGCGGTCTCCTCGCGCGTGCGCTCCATCGACGACAGCAGCACCACGAGGAGCCTCACCGGCAGGTGGGCGCACGCCTCCAGCCGGCGGAGCTCTTTGCCAGCCTTGTGGATGCGGGCGCCATGAGCGGCCATCACCTCCTGCAAAGGTTCCGCGCCACAGCCCGCTCCGGCGAGCCCCGCCATGGATGCCATGGCCTCCGGCCGCGACCTCCTTGCTAGTCGCCGCTGCGGGCCGCAGGCGCCGGCGGCGCTGCTGCCTGCTGGTGTTGCTTTGTAGAGGTGAAGCAGAGGCGTCTGGCTAGGAGGCTCCTGCGGCCGAGGAGACGCCGGAGTTGACATGCGGCGGAGCGCCATAGAGGCTAGGTATTGGGGGAAGATGATAGGAGGATAAGGAAGAGGGCACGGGGAAGCAGCTCGTCGGAGCGACGGCGCTCGCCGGCCGGCGGGGCTCCGGCGGGTGCGGCTGCCGGCCCTCCTGTGCGTGATAGCGGATCCAGGCGCTGCCTCCCGATCCAATCGCATTTTTTTTCCTTTTTACGTAATAAGGTTAACTGTTGGCCCGTGGCCTCGTAGGGGAGATAAAAGATTTTTTTTCTTATTCAGCTTCTTTTTATCCTTTTCTGTGTATGATGGATGGGCCCCATATGACAGCAACATGACGGTCTCCCCCAACTGTTTCTTTTTTCGAGAGTACGCCAATAACGTAACATATTTTTATAGAAAGCAGAAATATGTATAAGAAGTTGAGTGTGATGCGAACATCACACAAAGAAAGGGAAAAACCATCCACACCCACTCCAATTACAAAGCCTACTCTCTCACAAATCTGTTTAACGCACCAGCACCTAATCCGGCATCTTTCCATTCTTTGATCTCAGACATGATATGGTTATGGAGCTCGTCCACCGTTTTCTGTTAGTTTACCCGGTTGAACACCCTAGTATTTCTTTGCTTCCAGAGCGACCAAGCCACTGCAGTCACAACCGTGTCGAAGGCTCTCTTGTCAGCTCGAGTAAAATTTCGTCTTGCGAGTAGCCACCAGTCCATCAGATTATCTTGTCCTTGTGGGTGAGCCACCTCCAAGTTGAGGCCAATGATGCATTTGTGCCACACTTGTCTAGCGTATGAGCATTGGATGTGAATGTGCTTCGCATTGTCTTCCTCTTGAAGGCACGTGTAACAAGCCGACGGATGATCTTGCAGCCCATGTCTTGCTCGGCGATCCGATGTCCATATCCGGTGTTGGACAGTCAGCCAAGCACGAATCTTGCATTTCAAAGACGCCCAACTCCTCCATATACAAAAAGCATAAGGCACCCTCTCCAATCTTGGCATAGCCTGTCATACACAGAGCGAGCCGTGTATTGCCTCGACGCATCCGCCGGAGCGAGCCGTGTCTCCCCCAACTGTTATCCTAGAGGGAAATGAGTAAAATCAACCGATTGATTTTGTTGAAAGATCAACCGCTTTGTTCGGCAGCCACGTACCCTCATCACGCGTGGCTAGTGTGCCCACACCTCACAACCTTTGAACCTTATCCCTTCGTTCTGGACTGTTCTCTTGTGAAGTTCTGATTCTTTCTCTACCCACCGCAAATCTCTCTCTGCCGTCCCCATCTAACTCCACCGGCGCAGCAACGGAGAACTGCGAGAGACGACGCAGCAAGCTCCGACTGTCCACACCATCGCCGCAACCCGTTGCTGCAATCCCGGCTGCTCGGCAACGCCTATGTTGCGATCCGGTTGCAGCCCTCGTCGGAAGCAGCGAGGGCTCGCCAATGCTGCGAGCCGCCGCCGGAAGCAGCGAGGCATCATCCGTCCTTGTGCTACGACGCTGCGTTGAAGCGCATGGAGCGACGGTGCAGCAGAACGAGGCGCGGTGACTCTGAATTGAAGCGCGTGGCGCCGGCGGTGCTGCTGGGACGGCGCGGCGAGTCAGGGCGGCGGCGCTACGTACATTCGCCGACGGTGTTACAAGGGAGGGCGCAGCGACTCCGCATTGAAGCACGTGGCGCCGGCAGTGCTACAGGGGCGGCGCGGCGAGTCGGGGCGACACTGCTAGATTGAAGCGCGCGGCCGCGCTATACTAAAGCGTACGGCGTCGACAGTGCTGCAGGGAGGCGCGACGAGTCTGGGCACCAACACTGCACTGAAGCGCGGCGTTGCCGGCGGTGCTGCAGGGAGGGCGCGGCGACGCTGCACTGAAGCGTCGACCATGTTGTGCAGACGGCGAGAGGAGGGCGCGGCGACGCTGCACTGAAGCGTCGACCATGTTGTGCCGCGGCGAGAGGAGGGCGCTGGCTGTATGTGCGTTGAGGCGATGTGTGTGGGGAAGAGAACGAAGCAGGGGTTCTATCAGTGTGCATTGACCAAAATCAATGCACAGGATTTATCCAGATCAGCACGATTGGACGGCCGTCAACCCGACTGATTTCCCACGTTGATTGGTACTAGCAGCCTCCTAGACCACGTGGCCCTGATGTGATGGATGGGCCCACTGTCAGTTTTGTGTCAAAATATGGTCATACGTTGTTTTTAGTGTTTTCAGCAAACAAAATTACTCCAAATCGATGTTTTCGGCAATTGTGGTATTTTTTTTGGCAATTTACTCCTAGTTAAGCTGATCTGGGTAAGCCGGGAAATTGGAAACTTTAATTTTTTTAATGATTTACCTCTAATGAAATGTGTGACAGGCTGTGAGAAAGAAAGTAGGCCGAGGATGTGATCCCACATACATAAAGAAAAGTTTTTTCCCATACTGGAGATGGGTGTTACAAGTCCGGTGTCCTTTGAAGGTGCATCCAGCCTATGCAAGCTCATACTCTTGGTCTGCGCTTAAACATGGACAACTCCGTGTCTCTCTGAGTAACTCAATAGCCAATGGATCCACTCCAACTCCAAATCAAACACGAATCCAATATGGTCAAACACGAATCCACAAATATCAAACATTCCAAGTAGCAGTCTTCAACAATGATATAACACTCGTGTGAAACCATGCATGTTTGATGTTTCTTAATTATGTAATACATGTAATACTGTTGTTTGTTGTCCCTCTTCAATCTAAACAGCGGTTTCCTACTAACCAGGTAGTTGGGGCTTCATTGTTGGGAATAGAAGAACCTCCTGAAAATTCACAAAAAACAGTAAGTCGCTGGGCAGAGAAATGCTGTGTCGTGCAAAAGAAAAGAACTACAAAGAGGGGGTAGGGGTGTTGCACAAACCTTGATGTTCTGCGAGTCCGTCAGAAGCATTGCGATCCGATCAATTCCCATCCCCCAACCGCCCGTTGGTGGCAAACCATACTCGAGAGCAGTGCAGAACGCTTCATCGAGCGCCATCGCTTCGTCGTCTCCCGATTGCCGGCTCTGGGGAGAGCAAGGTTTCACAGAATGGCACGCAGGTTTTCAGAAAAACGTGGCTCTAGAAATTTAATCTAAAGTTTCAGCAGAAAGTTTCGGTTTCTGGTTACATACCCTCAGCTGCTCTTCAAATCGATGTCTTTGCACCAATGGATCATTCAACTCGGTGTAGGCATTGCATACCTATCAAGAGGATACAAAAGTACCGAATTATGCTTTACAAATTAGGGGGGAATGTGCAGCACTGACGCATAGTGTTGCAGAATAGCAGAATTTACCTCATGCTTGTTGATGAATAACTCAAATCTTTCTGTCAGTCCTGGCTGAGTCCTGTGCCATTTGGCCAGTGGGCTCATTATCTCTGGATGGTTGATGATAAAAGTTGGGTTCACACATGTGGCCTCCAGGAAATGCCCAGTAATCTGGTATAGAAGAAACTAGTATGCTCAATAGACGTTATGGAATGTTTGCCTTAATAGATTATGATAAACTACGGTGAACAGAGAAATCATAAGTTGCAAGATAAGTTAAACAAGCCAAGTTTTTTTGAGGAATATTAGACCAACTTGTTACATTCTTGAAAGTAAAGAACATATATTGATCGCCTTGCCTCCTCATGATATACTTATGAGAAATATGATCAGTATTCGGAGTGGGTACCATATATGGTCACAACTCAAGACTAATATAAAACTAACAAGTAGTTCTAACAAAGGCTGGCATCCAAGAGACAGGAATGAAACCTTGTCAAGCAACCGTGCTGTTGTTTGAGGCGGCGAGCATTTGATTCCATACTTCTCACACGTTGCCGCGAGGTATTTGTTAGCCTCGTCGCTTGACAAATCTGATGGAATGTCAAGCCCAGCGATAGATTTCAGTTCCTGCATCATATCTATCCTCCTACAATGACATTGAAGCACCAAACAACCCAAGTGAGCAAACAACTTAGATAATATCAAATCATATTTCACAGGTGCAGTCATGATGTTCAGAGACCATATCTACTACCTGTAAGGAGGTGTGAAATCGATCTCTATGGGAGGGTTATCAGCTCCATTCGCATGGTATTTTATCCTAGTACCACCAGTCAGCTCCCTCACCATACCTGTCATAGTTACCAAAACTTAGATACACAAACATTTTCGACACAATTTGGCAGACATTTCATACGACGGCTTTTCTAGCCCATCCATGCAATCAATTGAAAAAAAAACTGATTCCAGTGGTCCATGAATGCATCACTTGGGTAGTACTCCCTCCGTTTTTATTTAGTCTGCATATTAGGTTTGACTGAAGTCAAACTTTGCAAAGTTTAACCAAGTTTATAGAAAAATATATAAACATTTACCATAACAAATCTATATGATGTGAAAGTACATTCAATAATGAATCTAATGGTATTGATTTGTTATTATATATGTTAATATTTTTTTTATAAACTAAGTCAAAGTTTACAAAGCTTGACTTTGACCAAAACTAATATGCGAACTAAATAAAAACGGAGGGAGTACTTGCTAGCCTAAGTGCAACACCTAACATTTGGCATGGTCTGCCTGGCCTGTAAACATGAGCCAGAACTATGTGTTGCTAAAATAAGTACGTACCCGACAAAATGGTTTCAGTAAGCTCCATCAGGTCATTGTAGTCTGCATAAGCCATATAGAATTCACATCCTGTAAATTCAGGACTGTGAGTTAAATCAAACCCTTCATTCCTGAATTGCTTTCCAATCTCATAAACACGGTCCAAGCCACCCACAACCAACTGCTTCAGATGGAGTTCAGGAGCAATTCTCATGTACAGATCCATGTTTAGTTCGTTGTGATGTGTAACAAAAGGTTTTGCAGATGCCCCCCCGGGAATCAAGTTCATCATTGGTGTCTCAACCTGGAAAATGACAAAGATGGGAAACCATTTAACCAAATAAGATAATGACTTCTCTTCTGTTAAATAAGCGCTTCAAAGAGAATGCATAATGGTTCAGGACCCACCTCCAAAAAGTTGCGTTCATGAAGGAACCTTCTGATGAAGGAAATGACCCTGGATCGTGTTCTAAAGATATGTCTCACTTGATGGTTTACCATGAGGTCGAGATATCTCTGGCGGTAGCGAGTTTCCTGTAAATAGATGATAAATCGTTGGAACTAGCTAGGAAATTATGATCTAACATTCAAAACTGGTCGACGTTTTTTAACACAGAAATAACCTCTTGAGTGACAAAACACAAACTGTTCTAATTTTTTTTAAAGGTATCACAAAGAACAAGAAAATTGAAGCACTGTATCTGTATGCACCCCAGCAATTGATGATATGAAAGTATTTATATAATATCCACCTATTAAAGCATTACTGGGCACTAATATCAAGTTTTCAACATTGATGACTGACTGTATAGAGTGTGGCTCGAACACATCATTAAATTCTCATATCAACTGAGTTTTGGCGGTCAAGGGGTCATGGTGACACTAACCTGGTCCTTTAAAACATAAGCTTCAGTGTTCCTTCCTATTCCTGGAACCCAACAATCAGCACCAGCTTTTGCTCTTGTTGTCTGTAAAATAATAAAACACTTTAACATCTTGTATTGAAAGGGTGTATCTATCTATTTTACAGATGTCTAGGTAGAATATCATGGTCACATGGATAACATGCTCTAATTTCCAAGGAATTTAAACTTGAGATAGATGGATCCAACATTGATATTTTTCAGGTAAAAGTGGACTGCGTTTTCTTATCTGTCCTCTTTTATGTGCCTTAGTGAGCAACATACCTGTATGACTGACAATGCAGTGTGATCAGAAAACATGTACAGATCAAAAATATTATCTAAATTATCTCATAAATAATTTAAATTCTGAAAATGATGTGGCATGACAGGACGGTACTCCCCCCAAGAGGAATTTACAAAAATTCCGAAGTGTGCACAACTAATTTGTGCAAATCAGCCCCTTGGCCGACTTTATATTCACGCCATTCTACTTCTGGAGAAGTATGGGAGCAATTTCGCTAATATGTTTTTTTACATGGTCTGCCACATGTTCTATCATTAAAGCAGCATGAGTGCTCAGTGAAATATCTAAGGATAACTCCTAGAGCAGATTTGTTTATTTGATCGTTTATGATTTTCGTTGCTTGTCATCGATGGTGGTGTTGTAATTTGTTGTGCTTTCTAGGTGTCACTTCTGATACAAATATGGCAAGATCAGAAATATCTGTTTAAGTATCCCATCTCACCTTGCCAGCAACAGCAGTGCAACGCCCGGTTCTCTGGTTCGGTAGCATATGGAGGCATGGGGAGAGCAATATTAAATTTCTGGCAAATATGCTAAGTTCACCCCTGCTACTCCTACCTGATATGGATGTCAAAATAAAGTGTTACCATGCCAGGAAAAAATAGCTGAAAGAAAAGGCATCAAGTGTCAATTTCACGGACTTCTCTAACATTGTTCGGACTTTCAGACACAGAAAAGATATAATCCTCAACGAGGAACTGCTAAATTGGACAAGCACACAAGTTTACTAACCTGGGTATCCAATTATACCGACAATATCACCCCGCTTCACAACACTGTGGCACTTGTAGAATTCAGTTTCGGCCACCTCTGAGCAGCTAACAGAGAGATAAGAGACTAGAAATCACTTCATATATTTTGGTAATGGAAAAAATATATAAAGAAAAGGTATTATAAATGACAAACAAAATGCATCTGATATGCTAATTTCGTCATCTTGATCCAAACAATGCAACTGATACCTGGCCCCAGCCATGACCTGAACCTTCACCCCATCGCCATAGAGATCATAAAAGAAGAGCTTGGATGAGGAAACTCTCTTGCTCATGACCCTCCCTTGCAGGCACAAACAAATAATTTCAGGAAGCAGTAAACTTTGGCAGTGCTAACTACAGTTACTTTCACATGGAAATAATCAATACCAGCCAGGCTGCAGATGTTCACCAGCACCCAAGCTGCTGTGCTTGGCCACATAGTCCGCGATGGAGATCGCGACCTCGAACTTGTGCGGATAGGGGTCGACGCCCGCGCTTCTAAGCGAATCGAGCATCTTCAGCCTATTTTCATAGTATTGCTGCAGCAAGAAGCAGAATCAGCAAAGCTTCTTGCTGCTGATAATTTTCTTACTGCTGATAGTTTGGAGAACTGACTGTGGGGTCTGTTTCTTCACCATCCCCAGCAGGACCATGTTGTGGCATCATGCCCACCCCAGCTAGACCCTAAGAAGATAAACACCAGTCATGACTAACCAAGCTGAAAGATTAGGGGCTAAGCGCATGCAGTACAACAAAACCAACAGGCAAAAGAGAAAATTCAGAGGAGTAAAAAAGATCACAAGACAACCAAACTGGAATTTCCTAGTAAAGACTGAGAGACGAGTTTCGAGGGTCACTGCCATCCGAACTGATGAATCGAGACTAGAAACACCTAAACAAACAAGAAAAGGGAGAAGTGCAGATTCTGCTTGAAATACCATGTTATCCCCTTCCTGTTCCATCAACTGCTCCATCTGCCTCCCCTCTCTCTCTCTCTCTGTCTCCAGCTGCATCATCAAAACCAAATGAGAAACAGGCATGCCCAAAAGCAGAGCAAGAACACCATCCAAGAGAAGAACAGGAGCACCACTCACTCGAAGTTGTTGGATTCACCTGTACGATGAAGATGAACTTGGCCAAACCGCTGTTGATCCTTCCTCTTTGACTTCCTCCGCGGGACCCCATTTATATAGGGGGCACGGCAGGTGTGAGCTGATGCACCATTAGACAAAAGGAAGTTTGACGTTTCTTGGACTGGCCCCTGCCTTTTCTTTTCTTTAACTTTCCTTGTGAGTGCGAGCTGACTGTACTTCTTATGTTATTCCGTGGTAGCCAAGTTTCAGGGTCTCATACTATATTTGGCATGGGAGACTTGACCTGAAAAGTCTCAAGACTTGGAATCCAACAACGTGATTCCCAAGTAACAGTATTATTCCCAGCGCAGGTGTTTCAAAAGTAACATGTCGATCTGTATTGTGTTGCCTGGGACAGTTACAGGTTCGAGAAGTCGAAATCGACACGGGGAAGCTAAACTGAAAACATCATAAGCCTGAAGGCACTATTTATCTGCACTTCACTTCAAGAACAACTGCCATATGTCAGGACTAAACAGCCGGTGGAAATCAGCTACTGATGATCGGCTACCACCGTTCACAGCAGCTTCACGCCGGTGGCCGTGAGAGAATCGATGACGGCCTTGACCTTGCCGTGGTACGTCTGGTCTCTCGACATGGAGACGGACACCGCGGGGATGCCCCTGAACAGCAGGCGCTCGCCAAGCAGCTTCCCGATCTTGGCCGCCGCAGCCACATCCCGCGTCGACTCCATGCTTGGCCTCAGGATCTTCTCCTGTGAGCTCGCTGCGCATGCGATGGTCGCCGATGGGGTGTGGATGACCTGGGCCGTCACAAAGTTGTTTGTGAAGTGCATCTTCAGAACATAGGGCTTCAGGAACTTGGTGATTGCAGGCGCCCTAGCTGGTGCAGGGATAACCATGTCGGTTAGTTAAGCTGATCTGCATAAGCCAGAAAATAGGAAAAGGGAGTTAGGCAAGAACACATGCAATGTTTCAGAAAATTGTGAATGGTTATAGCGAGTACACAGCAAAAAAGGTACTCCATATGTTTCAGATTCTAAATCCAAGAATGCGTACACATGTATAATGTATCATAAAAAGGGCATCCAAGTTCGATGGTTATGATCAGTTGAATCCAGGGAAAGCATGTTACAGTTCACATCATCATAGTTCATTATTCTTGAAGTAACAATTTCAGCAGTTGAGAAAGTGACAAAGTGATCCAGTAAATAGTAATCAATTCAAAACGTTATGGCTGAAACTGAAGAATTTTTAGTACGCAGCCTGAAGGTTACTGATATGTCAGCACACAGTATAAGTGTATAACATTCGGTAAGAGTCCATAACAGAAAGTTGGTTGGTCCCAGTGTCCCACTTTCAGCCTTTTCTTCCTAAAGCGTTTAATCAAGACTAACCGCAAACCATTTAAGCAAGTTGACATACTCCAAGGACCATACTGAGGAGAAAATCTGAAAATGATACTACTAAATATGGACATAAAGGAGTTACTAATCCGGGCAAACATTTTTGAAGGAACATCAAAACAAATCCAGCATGGATGTTTTCTCATTTGAGACTTGCAGAACTCCCTAACAATACCACAAGCAGGAAATGAAAATTTTACTTTAGGAAGATTGTATCAGGTAGGCATGTTGTCCTTTGAATGCCACCATCCTTTTCTTCCGTTCCATGGCATATAAAGTTGGGAGTAGTCAAAGTGTTGGAAATCGCTTTAATCAATAAGTATTTTGCTTCTACAGAAATCAGTAAAGATACAAAAAATTCCACCAATATATTGAATACCAAAAGGCCCTCATTCAAAGCTAAGACATATTGTGGTGCCATATCCAGGGTTGAATTACAGACTGAACTTGGAAACCCCAGGAGATCACAATGAGTAAGCAAGAATTCTTCTACGCAAGATAACAACCAAGGAATGTTCTGAAGAAACCATAACTGGAAGTTGAGCTAAGTCCACCGGTGTGGTCACAAACACTGATGAAGCTGTCTTATCATTTGAGACTTGCAGAACTTGCTTACAACACCACAAGCAGGAAATGACAATTTTACTATAGGAAGATTGTATCAGGTAGGCATGTTGTCCTTTGAATGCCACCATTCTTTTCTTCCATAGCATATAAACATGGGTGTGGCCAAAGTGTTGGAAATTGCTTTAATCAAGAAGTTTTACTTCTACAAGAAATCAATAAAGACACAAAAAATTCTCACCGGTATATTCAATATCAAAAGGGCCTCAATTAAAGCTAAGACAGGGCTGAATTCCAAACTGAACTGGGAAACCCCTTGAGATCACAATGAGTAGGCAAGAACTGTTCTACGCAAGAAAACAAACAAGAAATGTTCTCCTAAAGAAACCATAACTGGAAGTTCAATTAACTCTACTTATGTAGTCACAAACACTGATGAAGCTGTCTTGTCACTTGAGACTTACAGAACTTGCTTACAATACCACAAGCAGGAAATGACAATTTTACTCTAGGAAGACTGTATCGGGTAGGCATCTTATCTTTTGGATGCTACCTTTCTTTTTCTTCCATACAATAAACAGTTGGGCCTGTGCACAGGACAGGATGCAACTTGCTTCTTCAGAGGATAAACTTTTCAGGCACATTACGAACACTATCAGGTAAATGTATTCCTTTATATACTTATAAAGCTGAATAATCTCACATTTGCTAGTCAATGCATTCTATTCAGTTACAACCAACGCCAATTAATCAAAGAAAACTTTCAGATCCACAAATAAGCAGTGAAAGCATATATCGGCATTTCACTTCTACGCAATGTTTGATAAACTTAATTCAGTTCAGCTTCAAACCAACATATCGGCATTTCACTTCAGCCTTCGGGGGATACACAATTTCCACAAATATATCCTATATCAGAAACCATAGATTGGATTAAGACCTACTGCACTGTATTTGTGAACGAAAATGTTCTAGGATGGGAGTGATTCCAGAACTTGAACTCGAAACCAAGTCCTGACGATATCATAGAAAAATGCTACTGTACAAATGTTTCTCCACAAGAACATATGGACACAAAGGAATTATTACACCGGACAAACATCTTTGGAAGGAACGTCAAAACAAATCCAGCATGTACATTTTCTCATTTGAGACTTGCAGAACTTCCTAACGAAACCACAAGCAGGAAATGATAATTTCACTTTAGGAAGATTGTATCAGGTAGGCATGTCGTCCTTTGAATGTCACCATTCTTTTCGTCCGTAGCATATAAACTTGGGTGTGGCCGAAGTGTTGGAAATTGCTTTGATCAAGAAGTTTTGCTTCTACAAGAAATCAATAAAGACACAAAAATTCCCACCAGTATATTCAAATATCAAAAGGCCCTCAATTAAAGCCAAGACATATTGCACTGACATATCCAGGACTGAATTTCCAGACTGAACTGGGAAACCCCTTGAGAGTTGAGATCACAATGAGTAAGCAAGAGCTGTTCTACACACGGAAATAAACAAAGAATGTTCTCCTCAAGAAACCATAACTGGAAGTTGAACTAAATCCACGTATGTGGTCACAAGAACTGATGAAGCTGTCTTATCATTTGAGACTTGCGGAACTTGCTTACAATACCACAAGCAGGAAATGACAACTTTACTCTAGGAAGACTGTATCGGGCAGGCATCTTATCTTTTGGATGCTACCTTTCTTTTTCTTCCATACAGTAAACATTTTGGCGTGTGCACAGGACAGGATGCAACTTGCGTTTTCAAAGGGTGAAATCAGTTGGGCGTGTGCAACTTGCTTCGTCAAAGGTTAAAATTTTCAGGCATGGAAAGGGGTCGGCCCTGCATGCCACTGGCGTATGAATCATCCAAGGATCATGGAGTCGGAGCTGCGTCCGCAATAGCATCAGCTGCCAGTCGAGATCGAGAGAGAGTCTTACCGTGGGCGGGGTAAACGGCGGCGGCGCTCTGCTCCCGTCGGGGCGGGCGGCGGCGGCGCTCTGCTCCCGTCGGGGCGGGCGGCGGCGGCGGCGGCGGCGGGGAGAGGGGCACAGGCACTGACGTTTCGCCCTACAAGCCAGAAATGCAAATTCAGAAGAGCGCAGGGGCCCGAGTGAAACAAAAACATCGGAAGAAACAGACGGTCGACCGAGAGCGAGAGCGAGGCGTCCCGAATCTCAACGCTTCATTCAGGCAGCGATAGTTCGGGGCAGCGGCGGCGCGATGCAGGCACTGGCGCGAGCGGCGCGGGGGCTGTGGCCGGCGGCGGCTGCGGCGGGGAGGGGGCAGGCGCAGCTGCAGGCGGCGCGGGGGATCGTGGTGCAGGTGAGGGACGGCAACCTGGAGCGCGCGCTGCAGGTGATGGAGCGCAAGATGCGGTCCAGCGGCATCGAGCGGCTCATCAAGCGCCGGACGGAGCACCACGTCAAGAACTCGGAGAAGCGCGTGCTCGCGCGCAAGGCGCTCATGGCGCGCGTCCGCTCCCAGGAGCTCGGCAAGAGCCTCCGCGACATCCTCATCAAGAAGATCAGGTCAGCGCCACCGCCACTGCCGCTCCCTCCCCACCTTCTCTGGCACAGTACAACATTCGTCGTGATGGTTGCGAGTTGCTGCGGTGGGCTGTGGTGCGCTCCAGGTGCTCGACGAAATGCCGGTTGCGGTTTTGCTTGTGTATATAAGGGCGTGTGGGTTAGGTTCCGCATGGTAGGTGTTTGATGAAATGCCAGAGTGATTGATTACAAAATTGTGAGAACGTGAGATGCAGATCGGTTATACTATCCTGGGGCTTGGTATGGGTGCTTACTACTTTAGAGCTACGGGCTGTTGAACATGGAGAAGATTTTGTGATAGAGTGAACTAGGTTGGCCTCAGATTAGATATCCAGAGACAGTCATGCTGTATTGGGTAATCCCGTCACTGATGTGATGCATATCAGAAACCGAGAAAATTGGAAGTCCATGATCCACAAACTTATAATAATCTAGTAAAAGGAATACAGGTTTGATCACTTTAATCAACAAAAGATCGTTTTAACCCTTGAATGTTGGCTTCGTTTATAAGTTCAACATTACTTGATATGAAAGTAACTTTATTGATGTTGTGTTAGTCAGTTAGTTGACATAGTTAACCTCTGACATTTAACCCTTGAATGTTGGCTTAATGTGTAAGTCCCCTTTGTTTGTTTGCATCAGCGTTGAGCATACGGCATAAACCTCTGATATTTAACTGGAAGTGTTAGATCAACTCTATAGAATTCATCCGGTCATGTGCAATGCAAATGTAGAATGTGATAGTATATGGTAATGAAGTAATGAGTGATGAACCATATCAACTGTCAAGGACGCACATATGAACCAGTATGAACTCTCCCGTTTCCTTATGACAACATCAGCATACTGAATCTCATAGTGCACAACATCTACTTATGAGTTGTATGAGACATGTATAATCTTAATTCTGCTGGGCTGCCATTTCTCATTTACTATCGTTTCAGAGAATACATGCTAAACAAAGTAAAACTAATATCCTGGTAAAATTGGAAAAACAAATCTGACATTGCACTGTCCTATTTTGGCACGAAGAGGTTAATTTAAGTATATTGGATGCAATTACCCCTTATATTATGGGACGGAGGGAGTACTTTTCAAAACCAATTCCCGCAATCAACTGCACTAACTGAAAAGACCAGCTGAATTAGTCCATGCCAACTTTCTTCTTAGCACCTTGCCTGGTGCAACTACATTGCTTCCTGATCAAGCAGTTGGGTCATGGATGATGGATGGTACAATTTAAATTGCTACCCCTAGGATTGCCTTGAGGTTGTAACTGTGATCAGTTAGATGATATAGCTAGTGCAGCATATATATGTCGAGTTACTGGATGAACTAAATCGGAGGAGAATCCAAATGGAAACGGTAAAGATTCAAATATAGGCCACGCACTGACAGTAATACACAGGACAAGTATGATACAATAACATTATCTGATTGCTTACGGTTAGGTTATTGCATGGTTTCTAGAGCTTTCACATCTGTATTCACATTATTGTGGTTATTGGTTATTCATATCTGATGCATCATCATGGAAAAGTTTATGACACATGTTACTGCACTGATCACATGCTTGAGATAATTAGAGAACGGAGGCAAATAATTCATTTTCAAACCCATTGATGACAATATCACCACACAGGTGCAATCATTGTACTGCGATGTTGTATATATGTTGTTAGGTCTGTACTGCCTCAGATTGGGGGCACCGTGCTGTGGCTCCATATCTATGTAACTTAGTATTTCTGTCAGATACGTAATACTGCATTGGGCATGAGGAGTAAAATAGGCAAACCGCTAGCATTTACTGATATAGAAAGTCGAGTATGTTGAGCAGACTAATTTCTTACAAGGCATACCATTTATGTGATTAGCACATCACATCAGAGTGAGAAGTCATTTCATTTTAGTAGGAGGTACTTACTGTATACTGTTTTTGTGATGCTGTTTGCACTTTGCGAAACTATTGTCTGCAAGAGCTTTTAATGGGGCCTCTAGTCTAAAGTACATAGTCTTGGAGCCTAATTCAGTATTATATACTTAAATTTGTTGAGTAAACGTTGTAGCACTATGCTCCATGAAAGCCTTCAGGCAGAAATCGGCGTTACTTGTAAACTTTGTTGTATGAATCACATTTTTTCTATCTGTTTACCGAAGAGTGTTTGCTTTGTGCAGGGGTCAGTAAGGGCATCTCTCAGCGGGCAGCATTTCAGCAACATTCAGCGGTACTACAGGAGGGTTACAACGCTATTTGTCATGGGTGCTCCATGTTGAACATTGTAATCAATCTCCATGATGGGATGTAGTAACTGAGCTGATGATATTTTTTTGAACTACAGATCTGTTTACAGCAGGTTGATAATAACTTACCTGCATGCCAAGAATCTTTTTACGTCTTGGATCATAGGCAAGGTTATGATAAATTGTTTGTTGAGGAATTTTTATGGTACACCTTAGTAATGTACTGTTCTTGGTGTCTCTGAATCTGCTATGGGTGCATGTGCTCTGTGTGCAATAATTCAGGCCTTTTTTTTGAGGAAAATAATTCAGGCCTTGTGTTGCTGATGGAATGATGACCATATGCAAACAGTATGTTTCCACCCTTTGCTAGCCTTTTCCAATATTACTCCTCAAGAACTCAAGCCGTTGTTTTACAATCCTCTATCCACCCTTTGTACACATATTATGGCTAATATGTTGTTGTTGAGCCATCAAGTTTCTTCATATTATGCTCTTTTCAACTCCAACGGATCATGGTAGCTTCGGGCGACATAGGGTGGCCCGCTAGGTAATTGGGACGTTTAAAAAACGAATATATGGTTTGACCAAGCGAAACATCCTAGTATTATGCGAACCACGACTCTTTTCACCCGCTTAGAGCAACTCCAACGCAAGGACCCAAACGAACACCGATTTTGTCCGTTTCGTGTCCGTTTGGATTACCTGTCCGCCTAGTGGACATAGGGCGGACAAGCCTTGTATCCAACGCACGTCGACCCAAAACTCTCCGCGCCGCCCGCCCCCTCCTC